ATAGTTCTAGATTAAGTAGCTATTGTAATTTTAATGAGTATCAAGGAGCCAAGGCACTGTGGGGCAATAAAAGAGGAACAGTGAACTTTGTGCTCTGGCACCTGATAACTAAGTTTCTTCATCCCAGTGCCTCCTCTGAACGGAGAACCTGGGAGGGAAATCTACCAGGAGATGGCCTGAGGGGATCCAGTTCTGGGGGCCAGACAAGCCAGGCTCTGGGTAGCAAGGAACCCACCTGTTTGCATCACATTAAGAGTCCCCTTGGGTATACAGAAGTCAGGATGACGGGCCCAAATTCTCCTAGTCCTTTTATTTTGGGACAAGATTTTGTAAGTCCAGATGCTTCAATTGGTTTGATTTGCCCATCTGTAAAATAAGGACATAATATTATCCTAGAAATGTTGATGAGACTTTCAAAAGGATCATGCTTAGTAAGTGCCCTGGCTCCCGCTAGTGCCTAGTACATGGAGCCTCTCGAGCTGCACAGATAACTAAACAACAACAAAATGATGTAGTTAGATATTTTTGAAACTTCTGGCTTCCAGAGGGCACCTGACCTCAGGGTTACAAAACAGCAAAAGCCTATTGGCTTTTGGGTGGGGTGGAGGGAGTCCATTTGCCGTGCCCCCACCTTGCAGGCAGCTCTTCTTGGAATAGAAAAAAGTTGTACAATTGCTTAATAACAACTCTGGGAATCCAGGAAGTGAAAATGTTGGAAGCTATAGAGGAAAGGAAAGGTGGTGTCTTGCATGTTGGAACTTACTCTGGCATCTGCCAATTGGGTCTATGCACTGGTGAGCAGGATGGTTGATTCTAAGTACCTGAGATCAGGTAAAAATTTTTTTTAATTCATTAATTTATTTATACAAGCACTGGGTACAGTCAGAAGCGCAGGAGGGTGAGAGAATTCACCAGAGCCACAGCAGGGAGCAGAGCAGACAGAAGGACCGAAGTACACTACTGAGGGGAGCAGCGGCGGGCAGGAGAGGTCTGTGCGCCATGTGGGACCCTCCTCTGGTGGCCGGGGAGCAGCTGGGGATCGAACCGGCGCTGCAGAGGCTGCGGGCAGCTTTGCAGCCCAGCGCTCAACCACTGTGCCACCGGGGGAGGCCCAATTTTTTTTTTTAAAAGATTTTATTTATTTATACAAGCACTGGGTACAGTCAGAAGCGCAGGAGGGTGAGAGGATTCACCAGAGCCAGCGCGAGGAACAGAACAGAAATACACTGCTGAGGGGAGCAGTGGGCGGCAGGAGAGGTCTGCACGCCATGTGGGACCCTCCTCCGGTGGCCGGGGAGCAGCTGGGGATCGAACCGGCGCTGCAGAGGCTGCGGGCAGCTTCACAGCCCAGTGCTCAACCGCTGCGCCACCACCGGAGAGGCCCCAGGTAAAAATGTTTTAATGTAATATAGTCTTGAGATTCACAAGTCAGTAGAATAAAGAGAGAAACATCACCCTGTTATCTGGGTCTTGTCATTTCTTACCACCCAGTGCCCTCCCAAGTGTTTATATCACTTTCAGGGGAGGCTATCTATGAGAGCTGTGTTAGAGGTATAAGGGTAAGAAAACAGACAGGTGTATTTTTTCCTACTTCCCTTTTACTCAAATGGTTATGGTCTTAGTTTAGGATTTTTAAGACTTTATGTATTTATTTCACCAGAGACAGAGTAGGGAGCAGAACAGGCAGACTGACTGAAATACACTGCTGAGGGTTGCAAGGCAGGAGGCATCTGCTGCGACACGTGGGTCAGCTTCCTGGCCAGGATAGAACTCAGACCATAGTGGTGATAGCATTGAGACAACCCCCAGGCCACCAGGGAGGCCCCTGTTTTAGAATTTTTTGTTTCACTTCTTCCTATCTCTGATTCCCTATTTGCTTTGATAGTTGCAGAACTTCTGCTGTATGGATAGTCCATTGTATGGATTATACCCTTTGTTCCCTGGTACCCTAACAAATTATTAAGTTGCAAACCTTTGCCTTTACAATGTTGCAATTAATTGCCTGGTATAAGCCATTTCATAGTTGTCAGTAAATCTGTGGGATAAATTCCTAGAAGGGCAATTTTTAGGTTAAGGGCTTATGCTTTGCAGTTGTGTTTTTTGTGTTTTTTGTTTTGCTTAGATGCCCTAATGGCTAAAGGCCTTGCCTAGGAGCCGTGTCCATTTAAGTTGCCCCTTGTAAGGAGACCACCTGCTGTGTCAGCAACACCCGCAGTGATAAAGAAAAGAAACTGATGCTGTCAAGCTGACTATAGGATGCAGGATGCTCAATGCAGGATGAGGATGCCTTCCAAGAGCAAGATCCTGGCCTTTTATTGACAGACAAGGTGGGTCAGACTGAATACTGGATTTTGGACTTTAGGGAGGGTAAGTCCAATGATAGACATCCAACTCCCACCCATTGATCCAATCTTATTACCAAGGGGTTCCACTGATCAGGCTCTGGGATGCAAAGCACCACAGTCAAGCCCCCCCACCCTCCCTCACCCCATGTACCTGTTCATGCCTAGGGATATATATTCCTATTACCCCAGGATGATCAGGCTTCCTGCGCTTGTCTAACTTGAAAGGCGCCTTGTACCCCACACCCACGGCCCCTCTCCTCACCCCTTCTCCCGGGCAGGGGATTTGCAAACTTTAGGGCCTCAGGTGGGTGGGGTGAAAAAAAAAAAAGCAATCTATGGTGTCCCTGGTGGCTCAGGGGATGAAGACAGCTCTAGCAGGCCATGGCCAGCCACTGCAGAGTGAAGTTTGATCACTAGCCAGCCAGGGAGCTACCCACAGGGTGCTGCAGACCTCTCCTGTCTCCTGCTGCTCCCCTCAGCAGTGTATTTCAGTGGATCTGCCTGTTCTGCTCCCCACTCTGTCTCTGGTGATCCTCTCACATCCACACCCTTTCCACACCTCTGGCCTACACCCTTGTATGTAAATATTTTTACAAAAATTTTCATTTTTTTGTTTTTGGACAATTTCTGGGGTGAAAACAGGGGAAAGCTGAGCCATGGTCCTGAATTTGAAAGCCCTAAAAGACAGTGGCAGCTGTTACCCATTTCAGATGTGGACACTGAGACTTAGGCCTGTGAGAAAGCACTCCTGGGCCAATTGACCAGTTGTTCCAGCTAGAACTCAGGTCTTCTTCTTTGACCCTCGCCCCTCGTAAATCTGGGCTCCAGCCTGCCTGTCTTGGGACATTAAGACACTGTAACTGCAAATATCTCAGAAGTAATTTGTAAACAATTATCTGGGTAAAATGAAACCTTAAGAACCTTGGTCCTCAAAGCATGCTTAAGGAACCAGAAGTCCCTTGAAGCTGAGAAGGGATGGAGGGATGGAGGGAGCAAGAGGTGACGGGAAGGGGAGAAAGAGAAAGCTCAACTTGTTGTCAGTATTGACATCTTTGACTTATGCCTCCGATTTATTTTGTCGAGGGTATTTAATGGGGAAAAACAAAGAGAAAAAAATGGAAACTCGGGCCTCCCTGGTGGCACAGGCAGTTGAGCACAGTGCTGTGAAGCTGTCCACAGCTTCTGTAGCGCCGGTTCGATCCCCATGGCGAGGCAGACTTCTCCTGTCTGGCCCCCTGCTCCCCTCAGCAGTATATTTCGGTCATTTATATTCAGTATAAATATATATTTCATTTAACTGCATTTGGAAGTGTTAGCATTTCAATATGAACAACTGACCTTATTTTGTTGTCCTACCAAAGGGAATTTTATTTTTTCTCTTTTGAGGTAACGTTGTTTTATAACGAAGTTTCATTTCAAAATGCATTCTGTATTTCAAAAGAACAGTAGTTAAAATATTCATCTTATAGAGGCCTCCCTGGTGGCACAGCAGTTGAGCGCAGGGTTGTGAAGCTGCCCGCAGCCTCTGCAGCACCGGTTTGATCCCTGGCCACCGGGCGAGGGTCCCACATGGTGCGCAGACCTCTCCTGCTGCCCACTGCTCCCCTCAGTAATGTACTTTGTCAGTCTGCCTGCTCTGCGCTCCGCTCTGACTCTGGTGAATTCTCTCACCCTCCCGCGCTTCTGACTGAACCCAGTGCTTGTATAAATAAATAAATCTTCAAAAAAAATTCATCTTATAACTGAAAGCGAATATTTAAAACTACACAGTACAATTTCACAATGCCATATATTCTGGGATGAACGCATGCCTGTTCTATTCCCTGCTCTGTCTCTGGTGAATCCTCTCACCCTCCCGCATATCTGGCCTGTACCCCGGTTCTTGTATAAATAAATCTTTAAAAAAAATATTGAAAAAATGGAAACCGGGGCCTCCCCGGTGGCACAGCGGTTGAGTGCTGGTTGCGAAGCTGCCCGCAGCCTCTGCAGTGCCGGTTCGATCCCCAGTTGCTCCCCGGCCACCAGGTGAGGGTCCCACATGGCACGCAGACCTCTTCTGCCGCCCACTGCTCCCCTCAGCAGTGTACTTCAGTCCTTCTGCCTGCTCTGCTCCCCGCTCTGGTTCTGGTGAATTCTCTCACCCTCCCGCGCTTCTGACTGTACCCAGTGCTTGTATAAATAAATAAATAAATAACTCTTTAAAAAAAAAAGAAAAAATGGAAACTCTTTGGACAAGGCAAAAGGTTGGGAACATAGGGGTCACAGGCTGAAAGAAGCCTAACAACATGTTTTATTTGGTCTACAAAGTGTGTGTGTGTGTGTGTGTTTGTGTTTTAAGCTTTATTTATTTATGCATATAAGAACTGGGGTACAGATCAGAAGTGTGTGTGGGGGGGTGAGAGGATTCACTAGAGACAGAGTGGTGAGCAGAACAGGCAGATCTACTGAAATACACTGCTGAGGGGAGCAGCAGGCCAGGCAGGAGATGTCTGCTGCACCACGTGGGTAGCTCCCTGGCCAGGGATTGAACTCAGGCCATAGGGGTGATAGCACTGAGACTTTACCCCTAGGCCACCATTCTTATTTTTTTTAATATATTATATGGAAATTCTGGGTTTAATATTTTTAAAATAATTTTTTAATATCAGTTGCAGTTTTTTAAATTATTTTATTTATTTATACAAGAACTGGGGTACAGGTCAGAGGTGCGGGAGGGAACAGGCAGATGGACCGAAGGACACTGCTGAGGGGAGCAGGGGGCGAGACAGGAGAGGTCTGCTGTGCTATGTGGGTCAGCTCCCTGGCCAGGATAGAACTCATGTTGCAATGGCTGGTGATAGCTTGATAATGCTGTGTCTTTAACCCCTGTGCCACCAGGGAGGCCCTACAAAGTGTGTTTTAAAACATTTAATTAGTTACTAACTTTTAAAAATCCAGAGCTTTCCCACAGAAATCGCTGGCTTTTCTTTAGAAAATAAAGACCTGGCGATGCAGGTTTTGCACAGCAAACCCAATAGTGCAGCAATCCCCAGACCCAGAAAGGGGGTGTAGCCAGCGCTCTGGAGACCCTACTGCCCCCTTCCAGTGACTCCCCATGACAAGGGAAATCCCCGCTCTGGAATTATAACAGAGGGGATCAGGTTTGCCTCTTATTGTACTGGAGGCAGATGCAGCAAGTGGCTGAGGTTCCTGTGGGGTCACTCTTCTGTCACCTCCGCTCTGGGCAGTGCTTCCAAGGGCTCCATTCACTTTTTCGTATTTGATAGACATTTGTATTGTTTTCAGAGATCTGGCTACTAGGACTCTGCTGCTGTGAACTCTCTTCTACACTGACCACACATATTGGTGTATTTCTGTCAGGAGCGGAACTGCAGCCAAACTGTGACCAGCACAGTGCCTCAGGCGCTTGTGCCACCTCCCTGCCCCTGGCTGTTGTCACCGCCAGTGGCCGGTCTTACTCACAGTGATCACCTGAAGGTTCCCAAAGGCACTGGGGTTTGAGAGCCTCTGCCCAGACAAGATGCCGTCTTTGAAATGAGTGGTGAATGGTTGGCCCTTTTAACTCCTCTCAGGGGTGCCTACTTTCCCCCCTTTCCTTTGTAATTCTTGTTTGGGACTCCTTTATTTGGACATGCATTTATCCCTTCAGCGGAGACCCAGAAGTGGGGAAGGAATTAGTGAGATATGGGGGTTGGGGGCGGAAATACTGAAGAATGTTCCTGACTGAGGTGAGGAAATAGCATCTTCTGGAGGCCATAGTTTAACAAAAAAAACACAAGTTCTCAAAGGGGGCCTAATCCTAGAGGACTGGGAAAAGGACTGGGGGATGGGCTGCTTGTGTTTCAAGTTAGACCAGGAGAGTGCCAGAGAGCGGAGAGCGCTACTCCCCACAAGGAAATACCTCCCCCACCCATCCAATGCCCAGAAGGCCCCAGTAGAGAAACGCTGGGAGCAACTAAAGGAATTTGATCTTGATTGGAGGGTGGGTAGGGAGGATGAGGCTGGGGGAGGGGGAATGGGTGTGTGTTCCACTGTCATGTAAATATCCCCTCCAGGCCCCGCGGCTCCAGAGCAGATTTAAAGCTGGGTCACCTGGCAGCCTCAGTCCTCAGAGTCTCTTCCAGGCGCACCTTTCCCTCGGATCTGCTTCTGGGACTTTCCTAGCAGCATGGCCCCCAAACGCCAATCTCCACTCCAACCTCAAGCAAAGAAATCAAGACTTCCTGCCGTGCCCAGGCCGGAGGAGACCTCAAACTCCTTGGACGAGCAGAAGGGAGGTATGTCCTGGCATTCATTTTCTGGGAGAAGAAGGGATTTAGGTGGATTATTTACGTTTTGCTATCTTTTCTTGTTATGCCTTTTGAAATGTTACCGCAAACTCCCCTGAAGGGTTGTAAGGGTGGGGTGAATGGATTAGGTTTATGGGAAGAACCAGGAGGGGTGAAACTAGGAGACATGTGGAGCACGTGGGTGCTCATCCCGGCCCCCAAGCACACTTGCTGGGTTGGCCTCTCAGTCCCCTACTGACTCTCCTGGGGCTCCCTGTCTAAAGAAGTGGCACCGCCAGCCAGCCTCAGGCTGGGGCGACACACATGGCCCCTTTCTTTCCTTCATCCCTCCACATCCTGTCAAATCCCGAGTCTGGGGGATCCACCTCCTCGATACCTTTGTTTCCCGGTGCCCCTGCCTGCCCACAGCTCGGGCCGCGTCACTGCCACCCCTTCTGTCTTTCAGCTCCCGCCTCCCCTCCAGCCTGAGCAAAGCCAGGCACCCCGCTCCGGGCTTAAAAACCTTGGTTGCCCTCCCATTGCCCTGGAGGTGTAGACTGAGCAACTTGGACAAGCCCTGCTCATCTGGTCTGGGCTGGCCTGTCCAGGGTCACGTTCCCCCCAGCCCCGTCCCTCCTTCCCTCCCCGAGCTCCGTCCGATCGCTCTGCGCCTCCCTGTGTTCTGCACCTCATGGACTCACCGCGCCAGTCACTGGCAGTCTTTCTCCTCTCAGTCACGCTGTTGGGCTTTAGGTGCCCCCTTTCTGCTCTGGCAGCGCCTAGTCCCCCCAGCCTGGTTCCTACGTCTTACACTGTAGTTGTCAGTTTTGTGTCTGTCCCCCTCCCCCCATCCCCATTAACTTGGAGGTGAGGGCTGCAGTTTTGCAGACACATGGCTGGCAGCAGAACACAAAGTGGATTGTTTTGGTGATTAGGCCTCCCTAATAGAGTGGGGATGTAGTGGGGCCTTCTTGGGGTGCTTTTGGATAGGAAGAAGGCAGAATAGTGTTGTGCTGGGGAAAATGTGGCAGCAGGCTGGCTGGGGGAGGGGGAAGGGGAGGCCAGGGACTCGGGCCTCAAGGATCTTACTAGTTTGCTGACTTGGCTCCAGCCATCTTGGTGAAAGGAGCACTGGATGAGGAGTCCCCAGGAAAAGGCTTCTGTGCATCTGGGCTACTTGGCAAGTGTGATCTTATTGGGTTAGTCCTTCCCCTTCCAAATGGGATGCAAACTAGTCTATGTTTCCCCCACCTCCACCTCCCCTCCCTGGTAAAGCTGGATTGCCAGGTTTGAAACCCTGCTCTGGCTGGCGAAGTGACCTTGTTGGGCAAGTGACATAACCTGTGCTGTTTTCCTCTCCTGTAAAATGGACTCAGCAGTACCTAATAGACTAACTGTGAGGTTTAAATAGAAGTAAAACACTGCAGGCCGATGGGTGCATAATCAGTGCTCTCAAGAAGGATAATAAGTTCCCTTCCAGATGGGAGCTGCAAAATGTCCTTCTGGTCTCCCTCCATTCAGCTTCCTGGGAGAATTAACTGGACCAGAAAGAACAGGAAGGTGCAAGCACAGCCCCTCGGAGGTGGTCCCCCCTAAAACCAAATACCAGCTCAGTGGCGACTTATCTGCCAGGCACTGTGCTAAGTACTCTATTCATCACCAGTATCCCTGGAAAACCCCAATTCTCAGATCAGAAAAAAGAGGTTCAGAGAGGTGTGTTGATGGGTGGGGGCAGTGTGACAGCCATCCTAGCTAGATTTTCCAGGCATCCTGGGATTCTGCCACCTTGTAGGGGACTCTGGCATCTTTCTGTCCAATCTGAAAGCTAAAGCTATGGGTTTGTTCCCCTTCACAGGAAGCTGGGGAGGAGAGAAGAAGGGGTTCTGAGTAAGGCGAGAGGCCTAGGAGCATGCAGAGCTCCTGGTGCTGGAGAGGGGAGAAGGAAAGCAGCACCTGGTTCTCGTGTGCACGCGCTCGGTGAAATATCCCTGGTGTGTCCACACCACTCCCTTGTTTACTGACTCTCTTGCCCTTTTGCTTTCTCTTTCTCTTGCACTTCCTAGTGTGCTCCTGGCATTGATCTGGAAAAGTGCTGTGGGAAAGGCCAGGGCAGTTCCCGGGTCTGGCATGGAGTAGGAAGACTGGCAGCCCCACTGCTTAGTTAGAAGGCTTTACTAATTCCTTGGGGCTCCTGCGGATGTGTGGGGAACTGGTAGATCGGGCACTTTGGAGGTGCTCTGGGTCACTGGTACCCACCTGTGAGCAGGCTTCGTGTGTGAAAAAAGCAAGTCCTCACAAACTGTGCTTTTCATCCCATTAGTGTCATGAAATCAATTTAGTGGAGTTCGACCTGCATTTTAAGAAAATAATGTAGATTAGAAAATTAAGAGGAACATCACCCTTAGTCTAAGTTGATCTGTCTGCTGGGTCCTGGTGTCAAATGTATTTCCTGTTGTAGGTCATGTGAAAAAGCAAAACAAAACCAAACCCCGTTTTAGGGCAGGGGTTTTATCTACTCACCTGGCTTTGAATTTCAGTTCTGTCACTTGCATTAAATGAGATTATCTGTGAAATGACCATGTTCTTACCTACCCTGTATTTCATAAGGATCAAAGAGGGAAATGCACGTAGTTGGCACTGCTTGTGCCGAGGGCACATGTTTCAGCAGTGCAGTGGGAAAACAGTTATTCTAACTCTATTCCAGTGACATTGCAGCAGGAGCTTGAATACAGTCTTGGTGATAGTATTTATACACCACTGAAATCAGCAAGTGCTACCAATGAGGGGGTTGTTTTTGTTTTTCTCTTCTGGAAGCTGGTTGTCAAACACCAGCTTGTCACTAGTGCTAATAGTTCTTCCTATAACAAGCCTGTCCATTGGGATAGGTATAAATTGGCATCATTTGGATTCGATTGAGAATAAGATCTGGAAGGGAAGGAATTGACTGTAACACATTTATCCCTTATGGAAAATAGGAGACTTTTTACATTGCCTTTTTAAATGTAGAAGATATTCAAGGGCCTCCCTGGTGGCCCAGGGAGTTAAGACAAAACCTATGACTGCAGTTCTGTTCCCACTCTGTCTCTGGTGAATCCTCTCACTGGGCCCCCCTCCACCTCTGGTCTGTACCCCAGTTCTTGTATGCATAAATAAATCTTTAATTAAAAAATGAAGATATTCAAGAAAAACCTGCATTAATTTTGGTATTAAGGAATAATCAAGGATTCTCCATTCCTGATGTGAGTTGATTTGCAGGTAACTAAAAGATTCTTAAAAGCTAAGCGGCATTTTTTTTTTCTTAGAAAACTTTTTCATAAGTTCATTTGTTCCAGTTGTTTTTTCAGACACTTTTCCCCACCTTTAAATGTTTCTCATATATATATATATATATATATATATATATATATATATATTTCAAGTCTGGAGGGGAAGGATTAAGAGGAATATCTGTGTTTTGAGGGAAGTCCCAAGAAGCCATTTGTGTTCTCCTGGATTGCATGCCGTTTACTTCACATTTATCAGTCCTCCATCACCATGGACTGTGCTGGAGGCTTTTTGTTTTAAAGATTTATTTTTATTTATTTAAGCCTACAAGAACTGGGGAGTAGGCCAGAGGTGTAAGGGGGTGAGAACATTCATCAGAGACAGAATGGGGAGCAGAACGGACGGATCCACCGAAACACACTGCTGAGGGGAGCAGCGGGGAGACAGAAGGGGTCTGCTGCGCCCTGTGGTTCGGCTTCCAGGCCAGGGATGGGACTCAGAGGATGGAACTTCGTGCTGAGACTTAACCCCTGCGCCACCAGGGAGGCCCCTGTGCTTGAGTTTTAAGAGGTGATGGGAAGATGTGAGCGCAAAGACAAACCATCCAGCCCCCAGCTCTGGTTACCAGCACCCTGGGAGAGGTTTCAAGCTCTTCCAGGTCTATTCCTGGGGTCCCGAGGAGGGCGGGAGCCCAGTGCTCCGTCAGGCTTGGCCTCCCAAGCAGGCTTCGCTGGGGCTTCCGCGTCACCTGGTTTCTTGGCGCTTTGGGGACTGCTGGGGCCAAAGCGACCCTCCTGCCTTCAGGCGACTTCCACTCCCGCGCCCCGCTCCTCAGGCGGCCCCGCACTTTGCAGCTCGCGGTGGACAGAGGTGCGGGGCGCACGGGGCTGCGCCCTCAGGGGGCGCCGCGAGGACTCCACGGCCGGAGCGGGTCCCGGCGGGCCGGCCGCCTCAGGTTCCCCGAGCCGGAGGGGTCCGCCCGGGCGCCGGCCTTCCCGCGGGACGCCCCGGGCACGTTCCGGGGCGCGGGCCGGGGCGGGGGCACGCGGCGCCCCGAGGTGAAGCCGCGCGGGCCTCGGCCTGCGCCCGGGAGCGGCGGCGCCCAGCCCGCGCCCCGCGCCCCGCGCCCCGCGGAGCAGGGAAGCCGCTCCGCCACCACGTGACGCCCGCCCGGGGCCTGCGCGCTGCCGGCGAGGCCCCGCCCCCCGCCGCCGCGCGCCCGTAGCGCGCAAAAGTCCCGGGTCGGCCTGAGAAGGGGAAGGCGGGGGAGGGGCGCGCGGCGCCGGGGGCCGGGCCGTACGTCGCCGCGCTCTGCCTCCCGCCTCTTCGCCGGCCCAGTGTCTCGGCCGCGGCTCCGCCCCCTCGGCCCGGCGCCCCAGCCAATGGCGCGGCGGCGCGAGCCTCCCGGGCCGGGGGCGGGGCGTGCGCGGGGCCCGGCGCGCCTGCGCGCTGCCGCCCGCCCCGCGCCGCGCCGCGAGGAGGAGGAGGTGGAGGAGGAGGCGGCTCGGGAGAGCGAGCAGCGCCGGGCGCGGAGCGCGAGTGAGGAGCGACCGCCGCCGCCGCCGCCGCCGCCGCAGGAGCCCGGGCCGGGCCCGGCACGCCGCAGCCGCCCGCGCCGCCCGCCGCGAGGCCGCGCGCGACCCGGGGGGCGAGGAGCGCGGACGAGCGCCGAGGAGCGGCCGGACCGAGCGGGCGCCGCGCGTGGCGTGAGGAAGCCGCCGCCCGCCCGCGCTCGAGCCGACGCGGAGGCACCATGTCGGCGCCGGCGGCCAAAGTCAGCAAGAAGGAGCTCAACTCCAACCACGACGGGGCCGACGAGACCTCAGGTGCGGCGGCGGGCGGGGGCCGGCCCCGCCGCCATCTTCGCGCCCGCCCGGCGCAGGCCACGGGCGCGGGGGGCGCGGGCTCGGCGCCCTTTTTGTGCGCGCGCCGGGCCGGGTGGCGCCGCGGCGGCGGCGGCGGCGAGGCGGGGGCGCTGCGGCCTGCGCGGCGGGCGGGGAGACCCCCCTTCCGCTCCCGCCCGCGCGCGCCCCCGCCCTCCCTCCGCGAGCCTCTTTATTGTGCTCCGCCATGATGCCTCGCTCCATCCGCCGCCGCCACATGGTGCGGCCGGACGCGGCCCCGGCCGGGCCTCCGCCGGCGCCCCCCGCGCGCGGCCCGCCGCGGCGCCCCCGCGCCCCCTCCCGGGGCCCGGCGCGGCGGGCGGGCGGCGGGGCGGGGCGGGGCGCGGGCCGGCACGCGGCGCGGAGGATGCTCCGGCCGGCCGGGCCCACGTGGGGCGGCGGCGCGGCGGGCCGAGGGGTGCGCCGCGGGCCGGGCCGGGCCGGGCCCCTCGGCGGGGGGCGGCGCGGCCGCCGGAAATGAGCCGCGCCGGGGGGCCCGCGCGCCCACCGGGCTCCGCGGCCCTCGCGGCCCGCGCCGGACAAAAGGGCACCTTTCCCGGGGCCCCCCGGGCCCGGCCCCCCCGCCCGCGCCGCCGAGTTTCCCGGCCGGGGCTTGCTCCGGGGAGGCCGCGGCCGCGCGGGCCCGGCCGCGCCGGGGCCGGCCGGGGTGAGCACGGGCGGATGGGCGCCCAGGGGTGCCCGGTCCCCGAGGGTCCAGCGCGCGTTCGCGGCGGCGGCGCCGGGGCCGGCCCCTGCGGGCGCGTCGGGGGTCTCGGTGGGAGGCGGTGCCGGGCGCCGCGCTGCTCCCAACTTTTCCGAAAGTGACTCTGCCCCGCGGAGCCTCATCGACGGCTCGGCGTCCTGGGCTGCGCCGCGGTGTCGGGGCATTTGGGGGGTCGTGCGTGGCTCCTAGTCTGCTGCAGGTGGTGTGGTCGGCGGGACAGATCTCTGAATTGTTTCTTCCCTAACAGATTTTAACACTTGGTCTGTTTCTTGTAATGGAACTCGGCATTTTGAGCAGCCTAACCGCATGATTCGCGAATAGACTTAATTAAAAAGTAATTTGTCAGCCACACACATGGAACACGTGGAGAGCATGCGTTGTAGTGGGCGGTTTCTTTTTTAGCAGCTTTATTGATAAATTCCCATATCACAGGCAGTGTTGGCATCAGGGGGACTGGCTAGGTTTGTTTTCCACTTGATACTGAGTCTTACGCACCTTTTTCTTTCAGAAAAAGAGCAGCAAGAAGCAATTGAACATATTGATGAAGTACAAAATGAAATAGACAGGTAACTGTTTTTTGTTAACTTACTTTAGAAAAGTTATGAGATGCATCTTGCAGTCTGGTAATCATTGAAACTGCTGTGGTCAGATAAGTACTCCCTGGCTAAGTGGAGAGGATTATAATTTAGTTTGAAATAATGAGATGGTAATTTTCTGTGAAATAAACGTAGGGTCATTTGATTAACCTTGTACAGATTGAGTTTGCTTTCAAAGGCTACAATTTGTCTGAAATGTATGTGGGGACTGCTGATAGTCCAGTTAGGGCTTCGTGTTGGTGCCCACTTACAACTTTGTTGCTTGACTAGCAACTGTTTTCTACTTGAACTGCTTGAGGGAAATAATTGGTGATAGTCTGTGGATAGAGTAGAGGTAGGAAATACAGTGTTGCTGACATACTCAGCTTGCGAGCTTTAGAAAATGTCAGTTGAGTTGATGATGGAGGCTAGATTGTTATTTGAGTTTTGATGTGAGTGAGCAGCTATCCATAATCTTTGCGGTGACTGACTTGTTATAAATAGGTACCTTTTAATGCCCTAAGGCTAATTAAAAATATTGTATATTCTGGGTAATTTTTGTATTTGTCAAGTACCGTTGGTGTCAACATGTTTTTTCATTTAATTTTCTTTAGACTTAACGAACAAGCCAGTGAGGAGATTTTGAAAGTAGAACAGAAATATAACAAACTCCGCCAACCATTTTTTCAGAAGAGGTCGGAATTGATCGCCAAAATCCCAAATTTTTGGGTAACAACATTTGTCAACCATCCACAAGGTATGGTATGTCCACTTGGTACAGAACAGAGGGCCTTGGTGAGCACTTGGCCCAACGTGTTGGGTTTATGCAGAAGTTGAAACACTAGGTGAAGATTTAGAGTTAAATCTTTCTATTTGCGTAAATGCAGGATTGTTAATTACTTGATAAAAGATAGTCACCGCTCTGATATTCAGCCATTTGATATCAGCTAATAGATCTATGGCCCTAAAGATACTGAATTTGGGAAATCTTAAAAGAAATCACAAGAGCAGTTACTTACTGTTTGCCTTTTTAATATTCACTTGACCTATATTTTCCTGATGCTAGTGTCTGCACTGCTTGGGGAGGAAGATGAAGAGGCACTGCATTATTTGACAAGAGTTGAAGTGACAGAATTTGAAGATATTAAATCAGGTTACAGAATAGATTTTGTAAGTATCAGTAATACATCTTGTTTGCCACTGTGGAAATTAACTTGAGATTTGGTTAGAGGAGCTGTTGGTATTGATTTCTTATTGTCTAATCATTTATTACAGTATTTTGATGAAAACCCTTACTTCGAAAATAAAGTTCTCTCCAAAGAATTTCATCTGAATGAGAGTGGTGATCCCTCTTCAAAGTCCACTGAAATCAAATGGAAATCTGGAAAGGTAGGCGGCAAGTTGGGTAAAGATGACATTTTGCATATTGAATCATTTACCTGTGCTTTTATGCTGTTTTAAAGGCAGATCCTTAAAATATAACAAGTTGCTTTTTATTTAAGATAAAGACTATGGTTTGGCTTTCTTTATGATCATGAAAGATTTTGAAGAAATGTTCTTTTTTCTTTTTCCCCCTTTTGGTTTTTCCATTGGGTGGCTGAGCTCTTTCAATGGCTTACCACTTCCCGTAATTCTTGTCTGCATTTGAGAGTTAAATGTATTGTAAATTGTGTTAAGATACTGGTAGAAAGACTTGTAAAAGCCAAATTTATGTGATACCCTTTTTTGGACAGGTTTGTCGTACAAATTTGACAAGTCTTTAAGGGCAGACCTAGAAATTGAGGACGTTTCTCTTCAACCTGTTGTAAACGATAGTTCTTTCAGATCAATAAATAACAGCCAATATGCCCATGTTCGTCGTTTACTGTTTTTGGTTTATGTTTTGTTTGGGGTTAAAGTTTTGTTTAAACCCTAATTTCAGTGTTGTTGACAACGTGTGCCGTAAATTGTTCCGTCCTTGTTTAGGATTTGACGAAACGTTCAAGTCAAACACAGAATAAAGCCAGCAGGAAGAGACAGCATGAGGAGCCAGAGAGCTTCTTTACCTGGTTTACTGACCATTCTGATGCGGGTGCAGATGAATTAGGAGAGGTCATCAAAGATGATATCTGGCCAAATCCATTACAGTACTACTTGGTGAGCTGAGAACCTTCTTTTATTTGAGTTTCCACTTGTTTGTTTGAAAATGAGTTCTTACAGAAACTTTTATTTGAAGGTTCCTGACATGGATGATGAAGAAGGGGAAGGAGAAGAAGATGATGATGATGATGAAGAAGAAGAAGGATTGGAAGACATTGATGAAGAAGGGGATGAGGATGAAGGTGAAGAAGATGAAGATGATGATGAGGGGGAGGAAGGAGAGGTAAAAGAAAATTGGTTAAATCCAAAAAGGCAATCATTAAAGATAAAGAACTCACCAAGTTACTTGGGAGGCCATATATATATATATATATATATATATATATATATATATATATATATATATATATAGTGTAATGGAACAGACTCACCTAATGGTGGGAGAATTCGTAGCAAAGATAAAGTATTTAGCTAAGATTGAAGGAAGGAAGTTTGGGAAGCTCACTGTATCAATGATTTTTTAACTAGTTCTGCTTTTTGTGGTTAGTGTTATGACTAATCAGTCCCATCTTTCCCTAAACAGTACTTAACGAAAGCAACGTGGAGCATGCAGGAGGTCAAGTTCTGAGAAATCTCCCCCAAATAACA